TATGACACATAGGTCCATTTTGTTTCTCTCTTACCTCCCAGAGACAAATACACAGCCTGTTTTTATTCACCACTAGTGATGGATCATTTCTGCAGCAAGGCAGTAGGGGAAGCAACTTCACACATTATAGGCTTTGAAACAGAGACACAGGATGCTGTGGAGGGTTGGCAGGGGTTAGGTAGAGTAAAGGAGAAGAAAGGACAAGGGTGGAGATGAGGTTCAGGAAGCAGTAGGTAGGCAGTTTGGGCCTAAATACACAGTTCCCTTTAAGCCACAACCTAAGTTTTGGGCATGTTGCAGCTTGCAGTGGCTAATTCAAAGCAGCCACCACACTTGGCACCCAGTGGGGCCTCTGTGGTTGGAGCTGTTGTTTGTGCTGCTGGCAGACAGGGAATCACAGGCCAAGCTGAAAGCACTCACTGACTCCTGTGATTCTGTTTTGCATTGCTAAATAACCTGCTTACGTTCCAGGGGAATCCCAAAGTGCAGATTTATGAGAATCTAGTCCCCAACAAATCACAAATGCACATGTAAAAATACACTGCTGCTAGGAAAAAGGTCAGATACAATGAAATGTTTTCATTCTGTAAACCCCGACTCAAAACCTAACCCTCCTAATTAATCTGTTTAAATGTAACTTAATACTGATTTATATCAGGTGTTCTCTGATGGACAAAATTTGGACAAAATAAGATAATAAAAAATGTACCTTTACTGTAGGGTACATGCTGAGTACAGGTATGCTATGGCTACAGTTGTCAAAGAGCGAGACTTGAGCCGCACAAGGGTGTTTTCCTCCCCCTTTGTCCACAGTGTGCTTTTCAGGCACATTACACTGTCTCCCTTCAGAGAGAAATACAGTTTCCTCATTGGTTATAATTGCTGGCATGACATCAGTGTGTCTGACAAACAAAGGTGCTGCTTGTCTTATTCTGACACATCTCAAGCCAGTAGCTAGTTTGTCACTTTCTTCACTGGTGATAGAGAAAATCTCTCTGATAGTAAAAGATATAATCTTCTTATTCATCTGGGGGGACAGGTCTGCTCTCTTGCACTTCATTGCATTGCTTTAGGTGTGAATTGCAGCTCTGTTACCCATGTAAGCCTGCAATGAAGTACACATATGCATGTGTACAAACAGACACCAGCTTTTAGTGGTGAGAATCAGAGAGAGACAATTACAAAGCAATATCCAGGCAGATATTCACTGGCACTCTCACAGAGGGAATTTGGCAGCTCTCTTAGAATTGATAGCTATTTAGCTCACAGATAGTCATCTATTTTAATGCATTAATTTTGTATTAACAGCACTGCCAAATTTAATGGGGGAAATTAGGGTATGATCATAATGGTATGTGGCAGTGTGTGCATGTGTTTGTGTGTTCATGTTTATTTGTGTACATTTATGATGTTCTTTTTGTCTGTACTTTAACATGTGTTTGTTATGTGTACATGCTGTATTATACAGCTCCTTTGGGAGTCATTCTTTGGAATTACCGGCTCTCTGTCTCCCTTCCACCCTTCCAGTAATACCCACCTCCATCTTGTGTTAGTTGGACTCTCTCAGCAACCACACAGTTTTGTGTTAAAGGTGCACTTTTACTTTGCATTTAAGTGGATGGAAATGCAGATGAATGCAGTGCTCTTGGTGGGTGGTGAAACTGATACAGGTGTGTATTGCCCACTCAGAGGGCAAGGTGCACTGTAGAGTTGTGAGAGAGAGGATGGGGTGGTGCCCACACCGCCCCTGTCCCTCTTTACCTGAAAAAGCACAGAGCACTGCTTCAGTCTCCACAGAAAGGGACAAGGTGCTCCATCGAAGAGAGAGGCTTGAAAATATCATGGTTGCATTTTTAAACCATGAAAACCAGCACAGCATTAAACAAAGCTTAGAACTGGACCTTCCCTTTTGCTGTGTAAGTTACAGGCCCTGATATACATTACACATTTTCTTTGCAGCTTTCTTTCAAAACACTGCAATATACAGTAACTACATTATGACAAAAGTATCTGAAGACATCTTTAAGGCACCTGTAATCATTGTGTTTTTATGTTCTTATCTGGTAAATCGGACCACACATACAATCCATGCCACTGTCCCTTCTCCCCTTTATGCCCCACAGCACCCCTCCTGTTGCAGCCTTGATAGGGCGCTTCGAAACCCCTGAGCCAGGCCGACCAACTCCTCCCCCTAAACATGACTTTTTCATTAAGCTGCCAAATTCCTGCACTCCAGTTGGAGGTGATTTATCAACTAGTGGCTTCATTGCAGGTTCATAGGAAACAGACATAGGCCCCATCTCATGCATTATTATGTTTCACATTCAGAATTTGTGTGTGTGAGAGAGAGATGGACTGTAAGTATACTGTGTTCATACTCTTTTTGTGCTCTTCATTATCCTGCTAGGAGTCCCTCACATTGTTAAGTTCCAAGGAGCCCACTGAGAATCCATGTTAGAGAAAGTTTGTGCATGTGATGATTAGAGGATTGTTCACTGTTGTCCTCATATGCCGTTCTCCTAAACACTATGCTATCATTTTGCCTTTCTGGAGTATTGAATAAGCTGGACCCCCTCATTCATTGCTCTTCATTGGTTTGATTTCCTGACTTTAACTCACTGTAAAATGTCCCAGACTGTCATGGGTCATGGCCAGTGCAGAGATGGTGAAAGTGGTGGTTTACAGGTGTAACCCACAGAGCTACAAGCAGTGGGGCAGACCAGTTTTGGCCCTGCTGAGGCCATCTTCCGGGCCTGTCAGGTTTATGGTGAATAATGGCTGCTTCTGTCGCAGGCGGTCTCAGGTTTACTCCTATATAAACCCCGTGCTTTTTATGGGAAACTGTAAAACTCCCAAGATTTTTTCTACCTCCTGAGGCTGGCTTTGAAGTTCCGGCCAGGTGCTGTTTTTTTTTATTTTTTTTTTTTTACTTCTTGTAGATTTTTGGAGCCTTGAGTCATTTATGGCAAGAACGCTCTCTCTCTTAAATTCAAAACATCTGCTATGACTAAAAGCAGTTTGCATGATGGATTTGGTGTTATCTATAACTGCATCTGTCTCTCAGGTTTCTCTCTACCTTAGTTCTGATGCAATATTTGTGCTCAGAGGAAAAGGGGGAGGAGGAGGGCTCCCGTAATATCCAACAACACCTATTCATGACATCATGGATGGCTTAAAATGAGCCGAGAAAGGAGAGCACACAGAGACACAGAACCTTTTACAATCACCTAATAACTCTATTACACCGAGCTGTGGGGCTCACAAAGAGAATGAAAAAAATTCCTATTCCTTTTCCTGGAAGTGGTGTCTTAATGCACATTTTAGGTGTAGAAGTGAGAAATATGAAACCAAAGAGAATGAAACACAATAGCTCAGAAAACCCCATAGCAGTATTACAATATTGCCAGAAAATTAAACATTAGGAGAAAGGGACAAGCACATTTTAGGGAGCCATAATATTGTTATGACTTTTTTTCACCAGCCTGTCAACACCTGATTTAGATGTAATGTGGTTAAATGTCTAATGTTTCGATTGCTTTTACATTTTCCAGCCAGCCAAACAGGCCATCCTGTGCAGCAGACGATAGTTCAGTTTGTCTTGATGAATGGCTCATTTTTTCTGAACCTTTCTCGAGTACAAGCCAAATGTAAAAGGTTCAGTATATGAACACTGGGACATTTATACTATTTAAATGCAGAATTACCTGATTGAAACTACTGAGTGGACTCCCCTTTAATTACAATTACAAGCTTTAAGCACATTTGAGTATTTAGCTTATTATTACTGCAGGTATATTTTCCTCAGTGCATTTTACCCAGGTATAAATGGCAGATGTTGTGACTTGGAGCATTAATTTACTATTAAATGCATCAAGTAGTGTTTAATCAAAAATCTTTTTGTGGACAACATATTACTATATACAATTAATTTGTTTCTCTCAGCATGCGTCACAGGAGGGGCCAAGTAGATTAGGGTAAATTGAAGAAAACTTTTGGTAATTGACATTGATTGCAGCCCTTGAAATCCATGGGAGTGTCCAGAGTTTGATATAGAAGCAGCACATGACAGGCATGACACAAGTGGCCATACTGAGTCTGAGGCTTTTATTGTAAACATGCATATACCATCATTGAGATGCTTTAGGATAATGGTCAATAACTCTGTTGCTCCACAACAGGCCCAGCCATATTGTGTTGCCCTTGCATCATTGATTGAGGCATGCAGGAGGTAATTAGACTGGAGCGCTGTGGTGCTACAAGAGATTGTGGTGGTATGGTGTCACTACAGGGTGTTAGGCATGTTGTGACACTATGGAGGGTGGACGAGGCATGCTGTTGAGTCTTAGAGGAAGCGCTGGGGTTGGCAGGTCAATATTGGTGCTGATTTCCTGTCTTCTGATGATTGTCCTCCTGTTGCGGAATGTTCCAGTTTCTCTCAGAATGTACTCAGTCCCCCTCCTGCCTCACCACCAGCTGACTTCACCTCTCTTTCTCTATGAGCGAGTGAGGATTTAACTCACTATGATCAATATTTAGTATCCCATGCGTGAAACAGGCAGATGTTTGGAGTTTCCTTTTCAGAGAAGGGAGGCTTCTGTTGAGTGAAGGGGATCAATGCTCCCTTCCGTCTGTGAGGCTGTAGATCCATGGCTTCTGAAGGGTGGCTGATGTGATTTCTGCTCGCCCTTGGGCCCCTGAGATTTGCGTGCCTCCCAGACCTCTCCCGTCCTGTTAGCCCACTGATACAGACACTCACATAGACAAAGTGAGCAGTCCAAACAGTTGTCCTGAAGTGGAAGAGGTCTGGATGTTAAACAACAGGGCTGTGATTGGGAATTGATTTGTTCATTTGCCAACTGTGTGAGTGAAAGTGAGTCGGTGGTGCCTGGCCAGCTATCTGCCATCTACAATAACCTCTTTCACTCTCTTTTCCTTTCTCTCTTTCTCTGTTTTCCTTTCTGCCTCTATGTCTCTCTCTCTCTCTCCATCCCCTCCCACAGCACCTGCAGCAGCATGAAAACGCTGTGGAGGGTGATGCCTGCTACTACCACTGTGTGCTGTGTAACTACTCGACCAAGGCCAAGCTCAATCTGATCCAGCATGTGCGCTCCATGAAGCACCAGCGCAGTGAGAGCCTCAGGAAGCTTCAGCGCTTACAGAAGGGCCTGCCAGAGGAGGACGAGGACCTCAGCTCCATCTTCACCATTCGTAAATGCCCTTCCTCAGATACAGGTCAGAAGCAGCCCCTGTGGGGTTTTTTTAGTATCTTTTTTTTTGTGTGTATGTCTTTGTTTCTCTTTCTTGGTCTCTCCACCCATGCCACTCGGTCTCTCATACACATACACAACCATTCCCTCACTTTCTTTCCACGTTTATCTATTCTTTCCCATATAACTTGCAATATCATTAATAACATCTGATTAGAAATGACAACAAAACATATTTTTTAATGGGCTTTGTGTTGTTGTGGTGGTAATTTTTGTTCTTTTGGTTCAAAAATAGATAATTGAGATGATACAGCCATAAACCCACTATTTTTAACAAGGATGAACAACACATGACATCAGTAAGTATGATTTTCACACTGATGAGTGAAATTTTAACAAAAGAGAGATAATAAATCTGACCTAAAATTAACAAAGGGATCAAACTTGCATCTTTTAATTTAATTCTGACAGTGTTCTTTAGCACAACAGAGTGACTGTATCAAAAATATTTTTTATAAATACACAAGTGTAAATATCATTTATACAAAATATCCATGCAAAGCCTGCTTTCCCCAGTCAAAGCAGAGGTCCTTTTTAATGGGAGCTGTCCTTTTTGGCCATTAAAGACACTGAGACAGAACATTAAGGTCAGAGAAGGAGGAGCTGAACAACAGCAGCAGCTGCAGCAACAAGAACACCAATAAACAGACACAGCTACAACAACAGTAGCACGACTGAAACAAAGTGCCTCAACTGCTCATTTATTATGGACTGATTAGGAAGAGTGAGCTGTGGTCAATTAACGCTCTTTCTTTGCAGAGATTTGGTTTTCTAATCACTTTAACTCCTGTGCCCTGACAAAGGGGCTCTATTGTGTGTCCTCCAAGAGGGAACCATTACTTCCCTCACACACATACTCACTGTTTTTTGTGTCGTTGTATGGTAGGGAAAAAAGGCCAGCCTGTGAAGATGCTTTGTTCCAAGGAGGCAGGGATAATGAAGCCAGCGGCCGGGAAATTGCGCAAAAGGCAGTCACAGATCTGAAGCAAATCATTAGAGAACATATTTAGCTGAGCAATTAGGGACAATTAAGCTTTCTGCTCACTGCACTCCAAATATGTTAATGACTACAGTGCAGTGGACAAGCGAATATGCAAAGGCAAGAGAAAGGGCTTTTTAGGTTAAAAGGGTTTGGGGTTGGGAATTTACTTTTTCCAGACAGGAGTTGTTGTGTTGTTTGCAAGTATGTGTGTTTCCCCCCCTTTCTTTTAAGCAAATCTTATATTTATCAATCTCTTTTTCCCCTCTTTTAACCTTTGATGTGCCCATATTTATGCTGTGGTGAGGGATCCAAGCCTTAGGTAATGGGCCCCTGCAGTGGGACTGTGTGTGGGCAGTACCCCCCCCCACACACACACACACACATAGGCAGCAGGTACTCTACTGCAGGACTTCATCACATTGCAGTAACCCTCACTTACTTGAACAGAGCAGCAGTAACAAAATGTTAATGTAATTAAATTTTTATTTGTCAGTGCACTTTAGGTTTAACACCTTTACAGTCTGATTGTGGGGTTTCCTGATAGACTAGTGGTTAGGGTGCAGCACTCTCACCGCTGTGGCCCGGGTTTGAGTCAGGGTTGCATCAGGAAGGGCATCGCTGTGCCGACCCTTAATGGAAAAAGGCCTAAAGTAACATTCATTTCAGTCTGATTGTGCATTTTGATGCTTATTTGGATTGGTGTAAATATCTTGTTTGCCTTTTAATTTGGGGACTACTACAGTTTTAGATCTTAATCATTGTTTCCAATCCAACACCGCCTCCATTTGTTTTTTCTTAAAAGTGTTTTAAATGAGCCCTGTTCTAAATTGGTGACCTGTCCAGCATGTACCCTGCCTCTTGCCTAGTTCCAGCTGGGATTGGCTCCAGCCCCCGTGACCCTATAGGATAAAGCAGTAAAGATGATGGATAGATGAAATGTGAAACAAAAAGTTGAACAAACATCTTGATCAAACTTCAATAGTGGTCATACCGCTTTGTCTGTAATCATTAACTCTAAAGTTTGCTGACTCCACACGCCTCACGTCTACTATTTCACCCCGCCAGCAGCATCTGCTGCACTGGTCCCAACTCATACAGTAGCTCCACCCCTGCACTAAGTCTGAACCATTCCCTCCCAGTGTAATATTTAATTTCCCTTTCGTTAGCTCTTTCATGGCACAGGGCTCTTTTTTGTGGTCGGGACATAGTTGCTAAAGTGGTTGAACGTTCCTTGGCTTGTGAAAACAAAGTTGCCCCTGGATTTCTGGGTCACATAGACAGTAATTCCCTCACTGCTGCTGTTCTGTGTTCCTGCGAGTGGTTCTCTACTGGTGTTAGGCTCGTAGCCAGCCTGGGATTTTTCCCAAAACATATGAAACTTACTTTCCCCCCAGACAGCTCACAACTGCCATCAAACATTTTACACAGAGGTGGTAAGAAAGAAGGTAGTGTGACATAATTCTTATGTAAACATCCCCAGAATCCCGCAGTTTTAGGCAATAATGTCTTTGAATCAAGATCTTTAGATGTAACTGACTGACACCTTTCTATGACCACAATGACAACAAGAGAATGGAATTAGGCTAGTACATGCATGATCTGGTATGTTTCACACTTTACAACTTTGCATATTAATCCCCCTTCTGATCATTCAGCAAAGCTAGACTGTAGAGACTTGGTGCCACATATCTCCTCTGGGCTGGATGTATGGGGAGAGCAAAGGCAGCAGAAATAGTTTCTGTCCAATTAGTCTAATGCAGGAATAAAAGACCTGCATTGTTTTAATTCTTGCTCATACTGAAAATGTGCTGCTTAGGCATGTTACACTGTGGCCCCGCCTTCATTTGTCTTCTTTAACCCTTTATCTATGGGGAAACAAAGAAAGCCTCAGTGAGACCCCAGCCCCGCACAGCTGCCCTGTGTGCAGAGACCACTAAACAAAGCTGAGCACTGTCTTTAACTATTTCTTTGTGTTCACAAGTGCAAGCTTCTAGTTTGAAAGGATAAGGACAGTGATATTCCTTTTTTTGTAGTTGTTATTGTTATTTTACACAAATCCCATATAGAGACTAAAATCAACACTGAATTTCATGTACTCACCGTAATGTTTGTGAATCCAGAACGTGGTTTAACTTATTTGTCAGTGCCATAGACCTCTATTGTTGACTGAAAACTATGAAAAACATACCAGTGAGCCGCACTACTGCACTGGGTGACATGTTTCATCCTCAAGAAAATTGTGGGATATGTCTTTTGTCAAAAAACAAGCTCCAGGCACCAAAAGTGGCCATTGCTTGTCTGTAGTCTCTGAAATAAGAGTCAACTGCACATGCACATGTTGATGCTATTGCACTAGCGTCTTGCATTGATAGCATGATGGCGCTATGTACTAAATGCAAAAATGCACAGTTTGACTCATTCTTTCTCTGGAGACTATAAAGAAAGTTTGTTTTTGATGAAAGCTGTATCTCACAATTTGTGGGAAGGAAACCTGTAACCCAGTGCAGTGGCATTGCTCATTGGAGTGTTTTTAATTGTTTCTGGACAGCAGCAGAGGTAACAGAGCAATGAGCTAAACTGGTGTCTGGATTTACAAATGTTACAGTGAGTACATGAAATTCATTGTTGGTTTTTGTCTTTGTGTGGGATTTGTGGAAAATGACCATTGAATAGAAAATTACCAGCCTTATCCTTTAAGGACAGCAGCTCATTACCTGGTGGCAGGTATCAACAAAGAACAGAAAAGAAACATGTATGTAACATAATGTAAATGGCTAAAGGGAAAGGTTAGAGCTCCTCTAAATTTTTTACTTTTGAGGTCAGCTGGTTTGATGGCATGATGAGAAAATGTACTTCAACTTCAGAAAAGAGTTTCGGCCTGGTATCATGTTGATGTCAAGTATAGGGGTGAATGGTGACTGCAGGCCACTATCAACATAAAGCATCAGGGCGTATGTGTGCAAGGGGGACCAGTATTGCATATGAAGAATAAAAGGACAAAAGTAAGGAATGGATGAAGAAGAAGTCAGCAAAACAAGTTTTGGGAGCCTGCATGTGACAGCTTGTTTGACACTTGAGTGTATGATGACCCTGTTTCGAATGAAATGATGTTCACCAGGGCATATAATGTAGTGACACATTGAGGTTTCTCATTTCTTAACGTTTAATCGAATAAAGTTATTTTTTGAGCATAGAACAGAATGAGATCATGCCTTTAAAAAGGGCAACGTTAAATTGCTCTGAAGGGTAGATGTCAGTTTTGCAAGAAATGTTTGTTTTGTTGTGTGTGTGTGTGTGTGTGAGAGAGAGAGAGAGAGAGAGAGAGAGAGAGAGAGAGAGAAAAGAAAGATGCAGGAAAAACATTTTCTAAGGGTAAAATATTAATATTTTTTAGTGGTGGTTTACGTGTGTGAGTGTTTATATGTATGTGTATGGAGGAGGCAGAGATGGAGAACAAACGTGGCTGACAGTGTGGATTAGCTCCTGCTGTAAATCTGTCTCAGTCACAGATGGCAGGCCCTTGATCGCTGGGCTGTGACGGCTTGGCTCTCATCGCAGGAGGAAATCCCTGTCTGTGAGCCTAGGAGGCTGGGAAGGAGAAGGCTGGGGCTGCCTGGGCAGCCACCAGTCATTGTCTCTCATCTGTGTCGACACACAGGCCTGAGTATTGAAGGGCAAAGACTGGCTTCTGTGGGGAGGGGGCGGGATCTTACTTTGACCCTGCAGTTGTTTCATCCATAACTTGTAAGTGGAACTTAAGCCTCCAGTTTAGATCAGCGTTACTTTTAATGACCAGTTTGAGAAACTGGGCAGGGGAGATGTGTGCATTATTAAATGGAAATGAGACGAAAGGATGCATACAAATTATTGCATAATAGTGGTATCTAATATGAGATCCATTGCTTGTTTTGCTAAAAGGGTGCGCTTTCAGGGTCACACACCTAATAGCAAGGCCTGTCCTGACAACAGAGGCATTTCTCTTC